AATGAGTACAATTCTCAAGAGTAACAAGAAAAAAAAAAACAACAGAATTTCAATGAAACAACATTTTATTTATTTATTTATTTATTTATTTTTTGAGACAGAGTCTCACTTTGTTGCCCTTGGTAGAGTACTGTTTTGTCATAAGTCACAGCAACTTAAGACTCTTTTTTTAATCGCCCTCAGTAGAGTGCCGTGGCATCACACTGCTCACAGTAACCTCCAATTCCTGGGCTTAGGTGATTCTCTTGCCTCAGCCTCCCAAGTAGCTGGAACTACAGGCACCTACCACAATGCCCAGCTATTTTTTTGTTGCAGTTCAGCCGGGGCTAGGTTTGAACCCACCACCCTTGGTATATGGGGCTGGCACCCTACCCACTGAGCCACAGGCGCCACTCCAACTTCAGACTCTTGAACCACCATGCTCAGCCTTGAAATAACATTTTCAAAATACTAAGGGAAAATAATTTGAAGACTACCACTCAGTTAAACTATCAATCAATGAAATAAAGCCATTTTTTAAATACAATGTTTATCACTAACAGATTCCCCACTGAAGTATCTTAAGGATGTATACATCTAAAGGAAGAAACAAAGTATAAAAAAGAATGGTGGGGGGGGGGTTGGCTCACACCTATAATCCTAGCACTGTGGGAGGCTCAGGTGGGAGATTGCCTGAGCTCAGGAGTTTGAGACCAAGGCAAGAGCAAGACCCCATCTCTAAAAAATAGCTGGGCATTGTGGTGGGTGACTACAGTCCCAGCTACTCAGAGGCTTGAGGCAAGAGGATTGATTGTGCCCAAGAGTTTGAGGTTGCTGTAAGCTATCACTCTACCAAGGGTGACAAAGAATGACTCTGTCTCAAAAATAATAATAATATAAAAACTAAGCTTGGTGCCTGCAGCTCAGTGAGTAGGACATCGGTCATACACACTGAGGCTGGCAAGTCTGAGCCCAACCGGGGCCTGCTAAACAACAATGACAACTGAAAAAGAAATATAGCCGGGCCTTGTGGCGGGCGCCTATAGTCCCAGCTACTTGGAGGCTGAGGCAAGAGAATCACTTAAGACCAAGAGTTTGAGGTTGCCATGAGCTGTGCACTCTACTGAAGATGACATAGAGAGACTCTGTCTCAAAAAAAAAAAAAAAGAAAAGAAAAAGAAACAGTCTTTCATTATCTACATAGCAAACAAACGTGTAAAGAGACTTAGAATACCAGAAGACAAGCCCAAGAGTTTAAGGTTGCTGTGAGCTATTATGCCACAGCACTCTACCAAGGGGGACATAGTGAGACAAAGAAAGAAAGAAATGAAAGAAAGAGAAAAAATAAAATAAACTAAAAACTATCCAGGAGTGGTGGCAGTCACCTATAGTCCCAGCTACTTGGGAAGCTGAGATAAGAGGATCTTTGAGCCCAAGAATTTGATGTTGCTGTGAGCTATGATGCTACTGCACTCAAACCCAGTGCTAAGACTCTGTCTTAGAAAATGGTGAAAAAATAAATAGTAAACATATATGGGTAAAACAAAATAATTTCTTTTTCTTTTTTTTTTTTTTTTTTGAGACAGAGCCTCAAGCTGTCCCCCTGGATAGAGTGCCGTGGCATTACAGCTCACAGCAACCTCCAACTCCTGGGCTCAAGCAAGTCTTCTGCCTCTGCCTCCCAAGTAGCTGGGACCACAGGTGCCCGCCACAACGCCCGGCTATTTTTTGGTTGCAACCGTCATTGTTGTTTGGCGGGTCCAGGCTGGGGATTCGAACCCGCCACCTTAGGTGTACGTGGCTGGCGCCTTAGCCGGTTGAGCTATAGGCGCCGAGCCAAAACAAAATAATTTCTAACACAAAACAAAAAATATTATTAATTAGAACAGTTCAAGACTGGATGTGGTGGCACTTGCCTGTAGTCTCACCCACTCGGGAGGCCGAGGCAGGAGGATCACTTGATCCCAAGAGTTTGAGGTCTCTGTGAACTATGATGATACTATGGCACTCCACCCAGAGTGACAGAGTGAGACTTTGTCTCAAAAAAAAAAAAAAAGAAAAATTGGCCAGGCGCAGTGACTCATGCCTAGCATTCTGGGAGGCCAAGGCGGGTAGACTGCTTGAGCTCATGAGTCAGAGACCAGCCTGAATAAAAGAGAGACCCCTGTCTCTACTAATAATAGCCCAAGAGTTAGAGATTGCTGTGAGCTATGACTCCAGATCACTTTACCCAGGATGACAGCTTAAGACTCTGTCTCAAAAAAGAAAAAAATTAATTAGAATAGTTCAACATTGTGATGGATTAACTTCAGGAATTTTCTTGGAAGTTCTCATTTGGAGTCTGAGCAACACCTTTTGGTATAGTTAGTGTAAGAGGCTGAATTAAATGACCCTCAATCAATAGGGTTTTATCAAATAAACACAGCTGTCAAATAAAACAGCCCCTGATTAACTCTGTTCAGGCATGTAAGGCAGGGTTTTGCCCCATCCTAACAGTTCTAGAACTCAAGTCAGGCATTCTTTCCATTTCCATATTCCACAAGTAAAAAAGAACATTCTAAATATCACTCTGGGAGGCCAAGGCAGGTGGAGTGCCTTAGCTCAGGAGTTTGAGACCAGCTACTATAATAGAAAAAAACAAACAAAAAAAAACTAGCCCTCATCATGCCTGGAGCCTATAGTCCCAGCTACTTGGGGAGCTGATGCAAGAGGATCGTTTGACCCCAAAAGTTTGAGGTTGCAGTGAGGTATGATGCCACAGCACTCTACCCAGAACAACAGAGTAAGACTCAGTCTCAAAACAAAATTTATGTTTAGAGGTATGGTCTTGTTCTTTTGCCCAGGCTGGTCTCAAAGTCCTGGCTGGTCTCAAACCATGCCTCAGCCTCTGGAGTTGCTGGGATTACTATATGCATAAACCACCACACCCAGCAAGGTTGGCTTAGTACTGAGGTTCAAAAGCCACTAACTAAGTCAGCGGTTCTCAACCTGTGGGTTGCGACAGTATTAAAGGGCCATGGCATTAGGAAGGTTGAGAACCACTGCACTAAGTGAAGGCTGGGCACCCGTAGCTCAGTGGTTACGGTGCCAGCCACACACACCAAGGCAGGTGTGTTAGAACCCAACCCAAGCTTGCTAAACAACGATGACAACTGCAACAAAAAGTAGCTGGGTGTGTGGCAGGCACCTGTAGTCCCAGCTACTTGGGAGGTTGAGGTAAGAGAATCAGTTAAGCCCAAGAGTTTGAGGCTGCTGTGAGCTGTGACGCCATGGCACTCTACCAAGGGTGACATAACAAGACTCTGTCTCAAAAAAAAAAAAAAGCCACTAAGTGAAGATAGGAAAGCCAGACTCCCATCTCCTTTTCAGCCCAAGAAAACACAGCATTCTAAAGTATACATTAGTGGTCATGACATGTCTCAAAGCTCACATACCCATCAGGATACAGTGACAAAACAGTCTGTCAGGCTCAGTGCCTGTAGGTCAGTGGCTAGTGCCAGCCACATACACCTGAGCTGGTGGGTTCGAACCCAGCCCTAGCCTGTCAAAACAACAATGACAACTACAACAAAAAAATAGCTGGGCATTGTAGTGGGCGCCTGTAGCCCCAACTACTTGGGAGGCTGAGGCAAGAGAATAGCTTAAGACCAAGAGTTTGAGGTTGCCGTGAGTGCAAAGAAGACATAGTGAGACTCTGTCTCAAAAAAAAAAAAAAAAGAAAAGAAAAAGAAACAGTCTTTCATTACCTACATAGCAAATAAACGTGTAAAGAGACTTAGAATACCAGAAGACACAAGGGTACATGTGAATCTTTCTAAATGTAGAATATAAATGTCTTAACAGAATAACTAAGAGGATGCCATGAAGGCTATGTTAACCAGTTTGAGGAAAGTATTTCAAATTGTATATAAAACCAGCACACTGTACCCCATGACTGCATTAATATACACAACTATGATTTAATTAGAAATAAATAAATAAAAAGAATACCAGAAGACAAGTGCTACCTCAAGGGTAAGCAAAAGAGGGAACCCAGAGCAGGCAGAATAAACCCAGTTGGGCTCTCTCCCACCCAACCTTCACAAATTCACATAATTTATAGTCATAAATTTATATTCTCTAAGGTGCTTTCATGAAACACCTTATCTTGTTTGATCCTCACAACCATCCCAGTAAGTAGGTTAGGAAGGTAGGATCATTGTTTACATTTTTGACAAGCGAGGCTGAAAATAAATCGGCCAGACCAAGACAATGCGCGCACTCACGCATAGCCTCCCCCAGTTCTCATTTATGCCCAACCCTCGAAACCCCAAGAATAGCCAACATCCCGCTCGCTATGTAAGCATGACCAAGTTAAACACTATAAACCTCAAGATGCCCATCTTTAATAAGGCTGTCGTAAGATTAAAAAGACGAGCCTTATAAAAGGTGTAGCACAGTACCAGAAACGTAGGTGATACTCAGAAAACATTTACTACTTTACTCCTATAACTCCCACTACTATTATTAATAATAACAGGCGAGGACTTCCCGCTACAGGACTCCTGGGTTACAAGGCTTTCAGGAAATTCCACTCCCCTCCCCCATCCCCGACGCGCTCAGACACGCCCCCCAAACAGATCTTCCCTCTCAGGTACCCCCGGCTTCTCCCCCTCGGATATGCCCCTTTCCTCGCAAACCTTACCCCCAAAGAATCTCCCCTTTCAGATTGTTACGGAGGAAGCTTTCTGCTCGCACTGGCCTCTCCAGCACCCACTTTAGGTCTGGGCATCCCAGCGGCCGTCCCAGCCACACTCCAGCCGCGGGCCCGCGCCGGTTACCTGGCCGCGCGCTCCCGCTTCACCTAGAGATTCCCCGGAGGACACCTAGCAGCGGGCTCTCGCCAGCACTGAGCGCACAATTAATTTAAACTATGGTCCCACCCCCTCGCACCGCCCTCTGATTGGCCCCTTTCGGCTGTTGTCGTGCGTAAGGCACGCTTGAAGACCCGGGAAAAGGAAGTGAGAGGGCCACTGGGAAAGGAGAAGGGGGTGTCACTATTTCCGGACCCCGGCTGGACCGGGAAGGTCAAGGGAACTTCAAATCCCAGCAGCACTCGCAGCCTGGTAGCCCCCGCCCCCGAGAACTACAGGTCCCGGTAGGCATCTTGGCAGCACTTCCGGCGCCAGTCGGTACGTGGTGACGAAATAGTTGCCATGGAGTTTCGCGGTGTAACCGTGAGATAGTGGGACGTCGAGGCTGGAGAGGAAGCAACTGCTGGTGAGTCTGGCGGGAAAACAGGAAACCTGCTCTAGGGAACGATAGCTCTATGGAGAGGGAAGGGGCACGCCAGTAAAACTAGGAACTTCTCTACTCGGGACCCGCACCAGCCCCACCCCTCTTCACGGTGAACAAGTCACAACATCCATATGGGATGGACTGTGGGGGGCAGGGAAAGGGAAGGCCGCTGAGATACATACACGTACGGATTTGGGATTGCTTAAGATCCTCTTTCAACGCACACATGGACCTTCCAAATACTGATGCCTCAAGTCCCAGACACATTCAGAGAGGTCTGAAATTCCCTCGGTCATGGGTTGCTTTTTCTCTGTGGAACTGAGACCCTGTTCAAGACATGGGAGTAGCATTAGAGTCAATCGCAGTCCCTATTTCTGGAGGATGGGAAACTTTATGGGGCTTGAAGTGCTTCTTACCTTCCTCTTCCACGCAGGAATACCCTTTCTCAAAGACAGCAGGTTCTCCCACACACACTCATTAAAGGTATTGCCCCCAAATTACCTCTTCTCCCTATACCTTCTCCATGGTCTGCTTCAGTTAGAGCTTCGTTCCTTTTACAATTCTCATGACAGATCGATTGCATTTAATAACTTACCCAGCGCTTCTAAGCTTTTTGGTACTCATAACAGCTCTGAGTTAAGAATACTTATCCCCATTTCGTAGATTAGAAAACTGAAACACAGAGAAGTAATTTGCCCAAGGCCACACAAATCAGTGACAGAGCTAGAACTAGACCCCAGTTCTCCACCTTCCAGTCAAGTCTTTTTAGCTGGAGCTTACTATCTCAATAGCTTTAGGACTATTCCAAGGAAATACATTTAACTGCCCCCAGAGACCTTTATGGCCTACCTTGGATTCTTTACACTTAAGCCTAAATAAATTTCAGATCCTTCCCTGCAAGTTTTAATGGGTAAAAGAACTATAGAGACTGAAGACAATTTTAACTAAATGGAACAGAAAACAATTTGGCTAGCACAGCACCTGTGTGTGAAGCTGTCATGATTAAGCTGGCTTCTGGCTCGCAGCTAGCTGGCCTTGATTGGTCCTCTGACATCTTCCAGTTCTTCCAGGGTTGGTCCAAAGCCTGCTTCCTGCCACATATGTTCTCTTCTTGGGCATGTTCATCCACGTTCATAACTTCCTTTACCACTTGTATGCAGATACACACAAATATATATCTCCAGCCCAGCCCCCTATCTTTGATCTCCAGATCTGTATAGTCAGTTGCCATCATAATATTTCCTTCAGGATATTTCTTTTTTGTCTTTTTTTTTTTTTTTTTTTTT